ACTTCTTTCCCTGGAAAGACACCCGTACAGAACTCGAAAAGTCAGCACCCTGGCTCGCGGCGGTAGTCTCCACTGCTGCTGGATTCGTTCCGTTTGGATTTGCTGCGAGAGGGATAATGAATACTGCGTTCATCAGTGGAGTTTCCACTGCTGGAGCTGCGTTTGCTGGGGCTGCGTTCACGGAGGTTGGTCTTGATCCCTCAATCAAGCCAATGTCAGTTGCATTCAATTTTGTTCCTGTTTTACTTCTGGTGTGGGTGATAGGCGCTGACTGAGGGCTAGTATTTCGCGGATGAAGTTATTGAGCGAGTTGGGGAAGTTTGTGGCGGATTATTGTGAGACTGCGAGGGAGATCTTGGGAAAGTGGTCTATGTTGATATTTAGGGGGGGTAAGGATAGGTCTGGGGGTGATATTTTGTTCGTTCTTCACCTTTCCGTTGTGATCTAGTCCTAAACGTCTAACATGGAGCAGTGTCTACCTCCGCGGTGGGCGATTTGTCCTTCAGGATGAATGGACAAAGTCAGACCTGGAAAAGTTCTTCAAGAAACGGCTAGTGGCTTGGTTTGTAAACCTCGAAATCAGGTGCGAACAACCTCTTCGATCCAAATCTCACAGCCACTAACACCCATAACAGAAAACACACCAAAACCTTCGTCCTCTGTGCAAACAGCACAGACCCAGATAGTGTGATATCCCCCTTAGAATCACAATATAGAGCCGGCAATGGAACTCGTGTGTGTAGTCTCTACCGGTACTATCCCCCTCCCACTTCTCTTCTATCACGTTTTTTCCCCTTAAACTGACCAAGCCTACCTAACACAGTCTCGATGACGCGGGCAACCTCAAAGACCTCATCGCAGTCGAAAAACTCAGGCAACCCCAGTACAACATCACGTCCCGAGACATAGTCCAGTCTAGCGTGGATGCGTATCTGGCCGGTGGCTTGGACTACACCCCCGAAAACATGACGTCGAGGTTACAGGTCTCAGCAGCACTCCCATCTAACCAGCAATGGTTCGCAAAGGGTGCCGCAGGAGAGGGCGCTTTCACGATTCCGGTTTGTGATGTTGGATGGAAGGCTGAGTATATGGGTAGGGGGATGCCTTGTTGTTGCGGTAAGTTCTCTTTCTTTTCTTCCTCCTTTTGCCAGAAATCTGAGGGCTGATCGGAGATTGGTGCCAGGCGTCGGATGCAGGGAGACAAAATCCTTCATGGAAAAGGCGAATATGGGTGGCTTCGATCCTGTCGAGAAAGTGTGCAAGGAGGAGATTTGTCGTGAATGTGCGACCGTGGATTACGGCAATGATGCCTCTTCGTCGAAGCCTTCCGGGAAAGCCCTTGTTGGGGTGTTTTTCGCTATTGTGGTTGCTAATCTCTTGCTTGGTTGATGATATCCGCTTCCTTACTCTCCTATCTCTTTCTAATTTATCTTCCCCCCCCACCTCTTTTCATTCATCACTTTGTCGAGCTCGGAAAACACAGGGCAACCAAAAATAAGAATTTCCTGTTACATACTGGCTGGGTCATTTGTTTTTATTTCGGTTTTCTAGGAGTTTTTTCTTTCTTTTTTTTTTTTTGGGCCACCGGCAATCTGCACTATTTCTTAACACAATAGGGAGGATTTTCATCCTTTTTCATTCTTTGTCATTTTGATTATTTGATTATTTATCTTCTGTACTTCGCACAAGGCTGTTTCTTTACAGGAGGGCTTGATCTGTTCTTATCCCTCCGCTCCAAATTTCCTAATTTCCTACTCCTCTTTGCTCATCGTCTTCACTTTGTCAAGTCCATTAAATTTTCCTGGCATAGGCGGATAGATATATACCCACAATAAACCAACCACCCTGCGTCATCACTGCGCACTCGGTGCAATTTCCAACAACGGAAAGAGGAAAAATAGTTGAGCGAGTAACGGCTGCGTATAAGGGAGAAGGTCCAGAAGTGAAAAAAAAAAATTGCGGTAGTAATAATAGCGCCCCTCCAACTGGATACCCCCATGCAAGAATAAAGCGATATTCCTGTATACCGGAAGCAGTGATTTAGTTCAAGTAGGGGAGAGGAGTAAGATTGATTTCTGACATGGACGTTCGTAACGGGATTCGTCTCGTGTGCTGTGTTTCTGATTTGGCGGGGAACGTGTTGTATTCTTCGGGGAGAGAAATGTGACGAAAGGTTTACATTATTTTGGTATCATATCAGAGTCCTTTTCGCGTATTGGATCCAAGTACCATAACTGTACTGGTATCATACTGGGTCGAATATAAATTAGTGCGTAGTAGGGCACTTACCCACCCACCGTAGGGCGCTAGAGTTGAGAGTGAGACATTATAATTATCATAATAATATTATTATCATACCTGATCTACATAGTACAGTGCTCGTACAGTACAGTATACCCCTTACATATTCTCTAAAAAGCTGTACGGTGCAGTAATGAGCCCTACGATATAACTTTCTTCTAGCTATGATACATATCGCCACGGATGGTGAAAGTCTTCCGCCGAACATGGGGAGAATCACCCCCCCCCCATTCAACTGGAGAAGTGACAACGTCAACTTGGCAGTGCTGATATTGCCGTGAGCCGTCAATCCATTTCCCTGACAGTATACTTTTTAGGCAGCAGGCGAAGCCATCCAGTCCGCTTTGAAGGAACTCGGTGGGGAGAGGCAAAACCACCAGTTTTTTTGTATAATAGCGTGTTTTCGAGTAATTACTCCGTGTATCCGACAACTCCGCCATCAGACTAGTCGATGGATACAACGACCTTCCCGAATACTGACTGGTTTCACGTTAATGACTAACTTGATCGGTATTTTTCAGATGTTTGGGAGATTCTAACTTTACACTTTCGCCGGGTGTAGTTGTATCATCATAGTAAGGCTGGGTGGGATACCGATAGTCTCGGTTGGTACTTGCACCATCTTTTTTTTTGTTTCGTTCGATGCGAATCTGAGAGACCTTTTATTGCTGAATGGGGGAGGTGTGAGTGAGAAGAGACTGATAATTTATCACGACACTGGAATTTCGGAAAAAGAATGGCATTATCGATCGGGCCTGAAATGTCTAGTGGTTGAAGGACCCGTCATGAACGATACCAGCGGGGAGGTCGGGAGATCAGCTCCCAACATGGTCGTGGATGTAGTAGGCATTAAAAAAGCAAAAAACAAATAAACCCTGATGAACCATTTTTTGCCATCTTGATAGTCTGGTTGTCCTATTACTCTCAAACCCTTTTCCGGCGGTTCGGGGGGGGGGGTCTTTTTTTTTTGTGGAAGTATAGTCATAGAGGCAACCCCTCCCGAGTTAGGACAGCACTTTTGCGAATTCTGAAGATCAAGATATGATACATACACCTAGATTTCCCTTTTTTCCTGACTTTCTAGGATTGCCACATTCTCTCGGGGGGGGGGGGTGAATCCACTCCCGGCAAGTGGGCAACAAACCATGTTAGGCCTTGGGCATCGGGCAGCGACCTAATTAAGTGGTCCATGCGGGGCGTGACATTTTTTTTTTGTGGGAGGACAGCACATACAGTAACGGGTTTGAGATCTCGGTCGGAGGAGTTGAGAGCAATCTGCTCCGTTTGTAGTTGGCCTTGCATCCGTACCCCAGTAACCGGAGGCTCGTACTTTCCCCTACGGTTCCTCACGCAAGCGTTCTTCATTCTATCCGTGCGGGGATATGTAAGTGTTCATCTCCTCATCCGCACCAAGTTCCGCGCCTAACAACGAGCGGTCTTTCAACTCCCAAGGTTTGAGTTGAGTTAAGCAATGGTGGTGAAGACAGCACGGCCACGCGGGAGCAGAAGCAGAGCAGAGAAGAGAGACTACAGATGCACACCGCCAGCGTTCCCTTCAATCTATGTGAATACTTACCTACACGTCCCGGAAACTCGCAGTGGTCCTATCTAGAAACGAGAACAGTCATGCTCAATCACTCGGAAGATAGTGAGTATACTATCATATCTGCAGTCCAGCCAGTGACCGCTTCCGAGCGCTGCCGGTAACGCGCGCGTCCGGGAAATGTGGAGATCTCGTGGGGAGTTCTCTTGTGTATGTCACACCGTTAGGGATATCTCTTGTATGGTAGGGGGGCAGATAGGTGTGCCATCAGGGAGCACTCGGAGAATTAAGGGAGGGGCTCTGCGGGGTGTGATATCGAATGCGTGATATTCGGGACTTCTGAGGCCCGCGTAGCTGACTAGGGTACAGGGCTGGCAGCACTGGTATTCTGGGTGTTGACCCTGTTGGGGAAAGGCGAGCTAACTTGGGGATCGTGATATGGTGCTTGAGTGGAGCTAGTAGGGTACGATAATAGAGGAGCGCTCAAAACCCGCGGTCGATTTGATGATACTGATACCGTAGGCACTGCCCGAGCCCCGGCCAGAGACGGCTGTGCTCACCGTAAGGAGTGGTGAAGATCCGGTAATCACTCAAGCTGTGCTACATGTTATAGAGCTAAACCGGTATGATATCTGCAGTGAAATGCGGTGCGTAAAACTCCCCTTCCCCATCGATACCCCCCATCCTTTCCTTCCCCTGTCCGTTCCACGATCTAGCCGACAGAGGCGCACGATTGGATAATTTCCATAAACAGGACCACACTACACCCACCCACTCGTGTGGGGTATGCGCTCCTGGGGCGGCGGTGTGCCGTGCTCTTGGACATGATCTGGAGATCCTTCGAGTAGAATGGATTTTTCTGGTGGTTTGGGGGAATTGAGGCGTGTGTAAGGTGATATGTTGTTGCTCGATTTTGGTTATGATATTGTGGCCTGGTGTGAGTATTTATGGTTCGGCGTGGCTTCATGTGGAAGGAACGGTCGGCTTTTGCGTCGGGTAGTGGGTTCTTTGGCTCTCTGGCTCGATTTGTCGACGGCTTTTGATATTCGCATGAAAATAATGATGGGATTTTTCCTATAGTGACCTTGGCAGCCTAGGTTGTTAGGGGCCCTTCAGTGCTTTGGGTATTTGTTTATGTATCTTAAACACGGGCTAATTTAATGTCTAATACGCTACCTCGTCCACACATCTATTACTTTACTATAATACAAAGGAGCAAACCCGACCCCAGCGCCATATCACCACCAAACGACAGGTAACGCCAGGGTATAATCCCCACATCACAATCCCCCCCTCCCCTCAACAAACCAATTCCTCCAAAACCTCACCCCCTCGACCCCAACCTCACGACAAAGCGCACCCCTCTCCTCCGCCATCTCTAATTCCTCCGCCGCTACGCCAATACTCCATCCAAACTTCTCCGCGGCCTGGGCTGCCGTCACACCCCAACCCCACCTGGGCCCAGCAATCCACTCCATGATCCTCTTTACCGTCTCGGCGTCGGAGCTCCTACTCTCCTGCACGACGAGTAACCCGCTCCGGAACCTGCGAACGCGCACAGGGAGCTTCAGCTTCTCGAACAGGCCGGCGGCCTTCTCCAGGTCACTGGGCGAGATGAGTTCTATGCCGCGGGCACGATTGTATATAGCCCATAGGTCGACAAGCGTGATTACCCCGCCCTCACGCTTGAGTATGCCGCGCGCATCATCAGCGAGGAATTCTGCTACTTGGCGGGCGAGTTCGGAGAGGTAAAGGTCTGAGGCTTTATCGCCGCCGCTGTTGCCACTGCCAGCGGCGGAGGTTAGCATGTCCTTTGTCACGATGCCGAGGGCTTGGGTGGAGTTGCGCAGCGCGGCTTTAGCCTCATTGTTGGCGAATGTTGGGGTTGAGCTTAGGCGTGTGGAAAACTCTTCTGCTAGGGCCACCATTTCTTTAGCCCGGCCCATGAGCGCCTCTAGGTCCTCGAAGGCTCCGCCGATAGCGGCTTCGTTCTTCCTGCGCACGTTTAGACCCGCACGCTCGAGCCCCGCAATGCCTACTACTCTCTCACCAACCGCGTCGCCATTAACATTAGTCGTGCCAGAAGCCCCCCCACCGTTCGATGTCCCGCCATTGCCGTTCTGTCCAGGCGTGGGCACCGGCGGGGCATTCTGCAGCAGCCACTTCCGCTGTATCAGGGCATTCTTGAGCCGCTCGTGGAAGACTCTATCCCCGCCGGCGCGGAACGAGAATTTCACCACTTCTACGCTCTCCCCGACCAGCCCACCCTTGAAGGATATCGAGGTTGGAGCGGGCGACTCCCCGCGCGTGATTTCTAGCAGCTGTTCAGCGGGGATGTCTGGGCTTATCAAGCGCTCACCGCAGATCTCGCAGGAACGCAGCCAGCGGTGATTCAAGAACGTGCATCTCGGACAGGCAAACGTGGCTTCGTCGCTGTCGCCTAGGGCGGTCGTAGTAGCGGCAGTAGCCGGGCTCGGGGTCAGCTCGCTCCCGGCGGGATGCAGCGGCGACAGTGACGACAAGGGCGTCGGTGACCTCGGTGGCGGCTGCTGCGACGAGCTCTCCAGTACCTCCGGGGATGGCCTGATCCCGCAGGCTAGACAAGGGGGGATGGACGCTGCGGGAGTCACCTGCGGGATGTAGTTCGACGGGATGGGGTTCGAGAACGAACATATAGGGCATATCCAAACTCCCGTCGAAGCCGGCAACGGGGACGTCGGTCTGATGAGCGGGGTAGCGGGCTTGGGCGTCGACACTGCAGACCTATTCCCCGGCGAGGACGTAAAGTTGCTCGCAGCAGCGACGTTGGTGGTGGCAATGGGGGGCTTAAGAAGCAGTGTGATCTTGGGCGAAGATTTCAAGAACCCGGTCTGCGCATCACAGAAACCATTTCCTCAGCTTCCAGCGTTGAATGGGTACGGGCTGAAGGGCACGAACGTAGTACTCCACCCGATCAACATCTTTAAGTTCCACCGCCGCCGAGAACTTTCTCGGATCCTCATTATCAACATAGCAAGCCCGATGCGACGTCAAGTACGCACTACCATTCTGATAATTCGGGATTTTATATTTCCTATTCCAAAAGGATTGTCAGTGCGGGGTGGTTTGATGGTGGGGCTGAAGGGGGGGGGGGGAAAAGGGAACACACCCTTCGTAAAGCCCGACCGCGTTCTGCACGAATAACAATGTCTCGTCAGGGAGTAGGAGAGGGCGAGATGCGGGAGTCAAGTGGATTTGGGAAAGCATGTCATATCATGCCACGGAGCACGTCGATGAGGGAGGGAGAGTGAGAGAGAAAATAAAATAAAAATATCGCTGATGGGTGAGGTGAGGTGAGGCAACGGAGCGTGACGGGGGTGCCGGTTACGCTGTTGATCATGTCATCGGTAGACTACCGCACCGGTAGACTAGGGTGCAACACCTTAACTTTATCCTTATCGTCACCCTAAAATAAAATGCTCTGATGCACGATATGACACTGCACGCGGGGCTGGTCAGACAGGCGGATACACACAGGTCAGAAGAAGACAGCACAGGAGCACTTCTATGATACTCGTATCATACATACTTATACCAACACACCGTTACCCCCAGATGCCCTACCAACTAATAAACCATCCCAACTCCAACCAAACCCTTCATGGCCCGCCCAGCCTCACGCGAGCAAGAAGGATCTGAAGCCTCCCCAAGATATTTTCCCCATCCTTTCAATCAGCCTCGCTTACCAGTATTATGCATCACATTGTAACACAACAAGGCATGCCGGTATCAAAGGTGCGGATAAGTTAATTATGACAAGTCGGGTCGGCCGCCCCGGTCCGTTCGTTGGTCTGGTTATCGAGTTGGTTATTCCGCCATCCATGGAACCTGCCACGTACAGTACAGTACTCGAGTTCAGTACTTGTACCCGTAATATACTCGCCAAGACCAGGAGTCTGTCGAAGGCGTGGCCAGCAATGGCGGCGCGGCAATCTCTCTCCTCTGGTAGTCTCGATGGTAGCAGAGTTATGTTGTAGCTTATCGCTCGTGAATTGGTTGTCCCTAGGAACCTGTGCCTAGTACGAGTAGTGTTGAGAGGTGATTGGAAGTACCGGTACTCGTGAAAGTGATTCTCATAAGTAAGGTGTGGTGGGGCGGTTTGTGCATAGGCAAATATCGGGGACGGGCTTTTTTGGTTTTGGAGAGCACATGGACTCTGGGTTAGACTAGTAACTGCGGGATACCGGTACCCACCGACATTACACGGTTGGACTAATCCGCCGTAGACTGAGACTAAGATTAACCAAAAGGTGGGTATCATACAAGGGAGCTCAGGAACATGGCATTATCGTGGGGATCCACGGGTGCGGAAAGGCCCATTTATGGATCTCCATGTCTTCACCATTGGGGGGGGTACTCCAACATAGCTATTTGAACCTCTAACCCCACAATTCAACCAACATTCCGCACGGGGACAGCCCAGTCTTTCTGACTGTCTACTAAAGTACCGGTACCCTAGGACAGCATCCAAGACCACCCTTGGCCTCGGTTATCTACCACCGCACCCAGCCGCTGCTGCACAGGTAATATCACATGCTCCACCCTCCCAAGTGATGTGTGATTCCGCACTCGACCACAAACTCAGTCACGTAACATAGCTATGCAAAATGCTCAAGTTTCTGTACTCGAGCACTGGTGCTGGCACATGTGCACAGCACAAGATCGCATCCCCACAGAGCGCCATAAAAACAAAGAAAGACTCGGCGCCTTCCACACACAACCCCCCCCTCCCCCGGCTCCCCCATCAACTGCGGCACTTGTGCTCGAGCAGCCTAAGGGGACGTACAGTACGTTCGGTTTCGGATAGTCCACAGTGCCAGTACTCGTACTCGCTATGTATCAGTACGAGCACTGTCCAAAAGATATCCCGGATGTAACCTTAAGCTTCGCCTGCTCATTAGAATAAGGCTTGCTACACGATGATTGCATGTTGACTGGAAGATTTATGCGCTCTCCTTGGATCGGAGCCCTCAAGCATGTTGGGGAGTCCCAACCACCTTATCCACTGAACGAGTGAGGAGTCTCCTACTTTTTCCCCTTTCTTTTCCCCGATCACCCGAGCACAGTACCGGTACTGTACAGGTACAAGTATTACCGGTCTTATCATAGTAAACTCGTATCGAGATTCGCAGCTCGTAAGTTACATCTTAAGGAGAAGGAAAGAAAGACCCAACCCGAATTTGTACACCAGCTGGGTCCCCGGTTTGGAAAGAAAGAGAAAATGGGTTTCCCTCACGAACCTCACATTGAAGTGAAGCCATTCCCCCCCATCCATCCGTCCGTGGAAAAGCTTATATATAAAGTACCAGGTCAAATCGTTTCGTCCGGCAATGCAACCCCAACTCCACCACCACTATAAATTTACTACCTAGGCAACCACAACTACCCAGAATGAGGTGAAAATTTAGTTAGAGATTCAATAGATACAAGAAAATTCTCATGTGAAGTTATAGAATAAAAAAATCAATACTTTGTGTACCATCCCTTTGCATCTAAAACAGCAGCCACTCTCCTAGGCATAGACTCCCACAGCCTTTCCAAAAAATCCCCCTCTATATCATGAGTCCAAACCTCATTAAGAGCTTCTGCTAAATGTCTTCTAACAGTTTCTGGACCACCCTTAACCTTACGAATGTCAGGAAAACACTAGTGTAGCTTTTCCTTTACCCTCTTCCAACAGTGCTCAATTGTCTCAGTTGTAACAGGATTTTGCACATGACTCGATTATGAGTTATGGGTCTTACGCATATGACTTGTTTGAGTCATATGACTTGTTTATGTTATGATTTGTTATGTTTCGCACATAACTCGATTGTGAGTTATGGGTCTCGTGCATATGACTCGTTTAAGTTAAATGACTTGTTTATGTTATGATTTATTATGTTTTGCACATAACTCAATTATGAGTCATGGGTTGTAACGTGTTTTCAAGGTGCTAATCAATTTACCGGTAATAGATACGATGATTAGCAGGTGGCCTGCTCTTCCAGAGAGGAGGCAAGAGCTGAGAACTAAAGGAGGCTTTGCAGGTGTACTAAGAAAACAAAGAAGTAACCGTTCAACCAAATGTATTGAAATACTGTCTATCAAAGTCTGCCATTTCTATCGTGGAATCAGGTGGTCTTTAAATACACAAATCTGTTCATGTCTAGGATGAATGAAACTAATCAAAGATATCAAGTGATCCACTTTGGTAAAATAAATTAAGTATCAAAACAATACTTAAAATAAAACATAAAACAAAACCAAGTATCAAACGATACTTAAAATAAACCAAGTATCAAAGCGATACTTAAAACAAAACATAAAACAAAACCAAGTATCAAAATGATACTTAAAACAAAACATAAAATAAAACCAAGTATCAAATAATACTTAAAACAAACCAAGTATCAAAGGGATACTTAAAACAAAACATTAAACAAAACCAATAACCAAGTACCCATACCTGTTATATGAGTCTTGTGCATATGACTCGTTCGAGTCATATGACTTGTTCGAGTCATATGACTTGTTTATATTATGATTTGTTATATTTCACATATGACTCGATTCTGAGTTATGGGTTACATGCATATGACTTGTTATAAGGCTTTTTATAAGGCTCATAGTTATGAGTCGTCAGAGTTAGGGTTGGTGGAAGAGCACTATATAAGGAGGCCAGAATGGCCAAGGGGAATAGGCTTTTCATGCTTTATTCTAAGTGATTTTCTTACTTATTACTTTATGCTAATAAAACATCTTTACGCTCTTTATTCTTTATATTTCTCATGAGTCTAAGAGCCATATCTCTATAAGATATAACGATAGCTATTACACAAGCAAGTATTGATAACATAGGCCAAAGAGCCTAAGAACTATTGAAGAAGAAGAAGAAGAAGATATATATATATAGATATCTATATTGAAGAAAGGTAACATTGCCCATCGCTATATATTAACAAGGACTTAAGAACATTACATCAATAGGATTGAGATCAGGGGAATTGGGTAGCCATTCCATAACATGTATGTTGTTTTCCTCAAACTAAGCTATAGTATTCTTTACAGTATGTATCTTTGCACCATCCTGCTGAAATATAGAATCTCCAACTATGTCCTCCACCTCCTGCCAGGTATCAACTAAATCATCTTCCAAAACTCCAATATATACAAATCTATTCACACTCTTCTCAAAAATGGGAATCAGAAGACACTTATTTTTACCCCAAATACAAGCCCAGAACATCAGCTTTATCCCAGGATCTTTTGTAACTCCATGAATGCAGTCCTTGTACCACTTTTCCTCAGTTGTTCCAAATACCCAAATATACTTAGGATCTTTAGACTTTTCAACCATGCATTTATCACTAAAGATGACACCCTCAAAGTCCTCCTTTGTCCAATTCTTATGCTCCATACCCCAAGCTAATCTCTTGACAGCATGCTCATCTTCCAGAAGAGCTCTCTTCCTTACTCTCCACTTCTTTATATTGACTGATGTCAAAGCTCTCTTGACAGTATTCAGAGAGGCATATGGTGCAACATCATTGTGCAATTCTGACAGGGTTTGGTTGTGTGCCTTCTTGGGCTCTCTGGCTAGACGGTGGCAGGTTCTGTTATCAATAATTTTGTGTCTTCCTGGTATTGGAAGGGTTTTCTCATCACCCATCTTGTGATAGCACTTATGAAAACTGAGAACTGTACTCTTTGAACGTTTAAGAGCTTTCCAATTTCAGCAAAAGAGAATTGCTTTTTTCTCAGAGCAACAATTTGCCCTTTCTCAAAGTCTGTGAGATGGTTGGTCTTTTCAGAAGGCATTGTTGTTGAGGGGTGGTTGATCGGTGGGGTGGGATTTTTTGAGGTGTTGTTCGGTTACCACCGATCGGATGAAACGATTTGACCTAGTACTGTAAGTTAACGTTCAAGGCAACGAGCAGATTGGACAGGGTGCCATATGATACCTGTAAGCTGCCACCAGAAAGCATGCGGGAAACCCCGATGGTCACATTCCTTCGCATTCCTCAAACTTTAAGAAAGTCGCGGCACAGGTGACCTGAAGTGGTATACCGTACTGTACCAGTACTGCACAGCCCGCACTTTTCTTAAAAACAGGCGCAGAGTGGCATGGTTGAATGGGACGCTCTGCATCTTGCTTTGGTTCTTCATATTTCATGTTCCCCAAGATGGGCGCCTTTTCACCTTGCCGGGATGGGGTAAAGATTGTGACACCAGATAACTTGGATGTTCTTTTTTTCTCGTCTTCTTGAATATAAGTTCTAGCTCCCCCTGGGGCTTCTGGGC